AATATCTTGTTAGTGACAGTCAACCGTATGCGCATCCATCCATCCATCCATCCATCCATCCATCCATCCATCCATCCATCCATCCATCCATCCATCCATCCATCCATCCATCCATCCATCCATATTCTTTGCCTTTTTCTTTTCTGTGTCAAAAGTTGAGGGACATCACAAGTCCACCTCAAGGACAAATAGAAACAAACAACCATTCACTTCCTTACTGCACCTAGCATTCAGAGTTATTATTTAGCTTAATATGCATTTTTGTTCTGCAGGAGGAAACTGAAGTACAAGAAGAAAGCCCACACGTGCACGGGGAGAACATTTTCTATCCTTTTTATAATCACAGGGGTTCACTGGTGTCCATATGTTAATGTGAGAGGGGGGGGGGGGGTGAGGGACACCCTGGAAGCATGCATGGAGGGAACATACAAACTAGACTTTAGAAGGTCCCCTGTTGGGATTTGATCTGGCAATCTTCTTGCTGAGACGAAACAGGGAGTTTTTATCTTTTATCATTGCACAGAAAATGTTTTATTGTGAAAACATTTCTTTCTTAGAGCAGGAACATACATTCCCCTCCTCCACTTTGACTTCAAAACAAACGCTGAAACATAAWATGAGCCCAGCAGCGTTTCACTGATGTGCACATCTGGATTTATATGTAGGCCTACTGTAAACATGACTGTAAACACGCAGACTGTTTTACAAAAATCCACCACACGATGGCGCCAATTCTCCACCCCTGCCTTCAACGTCTCAAAGGAAGTGTGGGCCTCTCTTTGTGTTTCTAAGCTCCAGCACTCCTCCCTGCAGGGAGAAAGGTGCTGCATTAGCTGCATGTTTACTGGTTAAATACAGACTGGTCGAAGGGCTGTTTTTRCGGTGGTCTCGTCTTTATAAATGCATTTATCTGGTGTGCAAACTCCAGATGTGCAGGCCTTCTTCTTTCCTGGTTATTTAAAAAACATGACACAAATGTCTGTGGATATAGTCTCTCTGGCAGGTGGGTTGGAGAGTTTCCAAATGAACTCAGTGTGCCTCTGGTTAACATCTCCCTTTTTCTTCATCACCCTTCAGTTTCAGCACCCCCCCCCCACACCCCCTTTTTTATTTTATTTAATTTTTTTTCAGATGCTCAAGGTAAATTCTGAGAAATAAGCGGTGGAAGCCCATGAGTCACCAATCAAACACGCTCTTGGCACCCACCCCCATTCATTTTGTCTTGTGTTACATGTGTGCTAGCAGGCTTATCATTGACCTAATTGGCTGAATGTGTGTCTCAGAGTGTGTAGCTGCAGCAGAGTGTGCGGACGGGTTGATTATCTAATTAAAACGGGGCAGAAGGGGGTTGCCACTGTTGCTTCGGGGAGTGCGAGTGTTTGTCCTCCTCTGTTGTTGGACAGCCCTAGCAGCAGGCTGGAAGACCTCTGCCTGTCGTAATGCATCTCCGTCTCTCCAACCACAGTCACTCCACCACTGATGCCCACATCCGTCCTCCACGTCACACCGTCWCCATAGTAACCGTGCTGAGCACAGCATCCCCGAGCAGATGTCAAGGAGTGAAGACAGAAGTGAGAGTGGAACGAGACTGCAAAGCTATAGCTCTGTGTGTGAATGAAAGACTCACACAGTCAGCTTTAGACATTAAAACACAGCGCACAGCAATAATAAAGGGGTGTTTGTGGAAAGGTTATAAACAACGTATATCTTAACTTGTTAGCTTCTTTTTGGAGAAATAAGAGATGAATTTAGTGGATCAGATAACAGCTAATCAAAGTGTATTTGTGTCCTTGCAAAACAACTCAAATCTAAACCTTTTATCGATTTTACATCACATTCAGTACCACATTACATGATTATTATCGCCTGCTGTCAAAAATTAAAAAAAATKTTTTTCTCCATGTCTGTGTTTTTGTGTTCTGTTGTCTGTTGTGTTAGCAAAATATTTCATCAACCACTGAAGGAGTTGAACGAAACTCTCAGAACGTTATCATTAGATGTGCATCTGTCAAACCCATTCAGCACAACTAAGCAACCAGCTCCAACACAGTCAGTTTTAGAAGTATTAAGCTAAAATTTGGTGTGGTACAGGGGCGGTTCTAGGGGCGGGGCCACAGAGGCATTGGCCCCAYCTGAAATCTGATTGGTCCCCTGAAGTGCCCCTGTCCTTTCACTCACCTGTCCTTGCCCAAGAAAAATGATGGGGGCTGCAGTTCCACCTCCAACCACTAGTGGCACCAGTGAGTCAAATAAAGTCTACCATGAAGCAAGCTTACAGAAGTCTTTTCAATTTGAACAATCCAGCAGAAAAAAAGTATTTTCCTGACAACGATCGCTAGATTTTGTGTTTGAGAGTATTTTATTTAAGTGCAGTAAAAAAAAACGTAAAACTGATCAGGAAAATTTACTTTGCGAACTTTTACAAGTGTTTGAACGTGTGACTGATTAAATGTAAAAATCTTACAAAAACTGGGGATTTGTGTGGAAGGATGTTGAACAAATACTTGGCCCCTCTATGAATATTGTGGCCCCTTGATGGCCCCTTACATTGAAAAATCCTAGATCCGCCACTGGTGTGGTAGCTGAGAATCATCCTAAATTAATATGATTTTTCTGCTTAAAACTTTGGAATTATTGGTGTCGACCCTCCTCGTCTGGACAGATTTTAATGAAACTCGCAGAAAGTAATCAGTGGATGTTTATATGCAAGTGATAACTTTTTAAAGTCAACCCGATACAAGATGGCCACCACAGCTAGTTAACATTAACCAACATGAAAACAAATTTACCATTACTGAGCCAAACTTTGTGTTTCTCTCTATGATGGGCTCAACACACGAGACAGCAGTGTTAGTCATGCTCTCACGTTGCTTGTCTCCAAGAAATTTGATTGGTTCCTGGTATTAGTAACACTACAGTTTTGTTGGAATAACTTTGATGGTGAAGTCACAGTTGTGAATATATTTATACAGTAGTGTTCATGTGAACTAGTTTTAGAAATTGTAGTTGTTTTCAGACTACAGCAATCCATTTTTGTCTTGGTGTCACTCAGAATAGCCTTTAGCTCATGAGCCTGGTCTGAATTAAATTCTGTTTGATAACAGAAAGGACAAAAGCAGACTTTAATTTTTATTAACTGTA